AAAAAAAAAGAAAGAAAACCTTAAACATTTTTTACAGATTTTTTTTTTTTTTGGGGTGGTGGGGGGAGGGTGGGGTGCCAAGCACAGGATCCGCCCCGGGTGCCAAATGCTCAAGGTACGCCCCTGCCCTTCGAGACCCCTGCGCTCAGCCCAAGACCTACGCCTATCCTCTGCCCGGATCCCCACCTCTGATGCTCGCCTTTAAGACTTCTCCAGGGCTGTACCTATTCTGTGGAACTCCTTCAAAAAATCTTTGAAAACTCACTTCTTCATTAAAGCGTATCAATTAAACTGTCAGCAGGTTTCTCATCCCCCACCCCATGACTCCTTTCCTGCAACTGTCAAAAATGACCTACCAAGCACTCAATAAACCCTTCTCTAACAAACTATTTAATTCCCCTACTTTAACCCTTTGTGTAACTATACCCCACTCCGTCTAGCATGTAAGCTCATCGAGCGGGGCCCCCAACCCCAGGGCCGTCTTTAATATGGATTGGACCCTGGGCAAACATTTGCTTGGGCCCCCTGAACCCGGTCGTCCCCTCCCTGGCATGCAATCATGCCCCAGAGGCGGACGTAAAGTAGAGAGGGCTCTGGTGCATGAATTATTTTGGGCAAGAGGGGGCAAAAGGTAGATCCCCATCTGTCATGCAACTCCAGCAATGCTTTGACAGCTGGGGCGCTACCATTTTCCCATGCATGCAGGGTTATATTTAGCACTGAGCAGTATTTGTGTGTTTGAGTGTAAGCATGTTTTTGTATGGAGTATGTTTGTGTGAATGTAGGGGTGTGTTTGTATGTGGAGATGGCATTTAAATGCAAGTATGTATTTATGTGTAGTGTTGGTTTATGAATACACTAGTGTGTTTATATATAATTTTGTTGTTTAAAAAAAGAGGTGTGTTTATATGTAGTGTTGAAGTTTGAATGCAGGTGTGTATTTGCGTGTAGTGTTGAATGCTGAGATGTATGCACAAATACACATGCACTGTCACAAACACACACTGTGATACACATACACACACAGAAACACTTGCAGATACACAGATATACACAATCATACAGATGCAGCTATACAGACACATTTACACACACTGACACACACACATACAGACACACAACCTGGCACACATGCAGACACACAGATGCACACACGCACACACACACAGATACACTGACAACATACAGATACACAGACACACACAATGACAACATACAGACACACAGATACATAACCTGACAAATGCAGATACAAACACTGACAAACATGCAGATACACACATTGGCTACATACAGATACATGCACAGGTATACACACTGGCACACACACACAGATACATACATACTGACAACATACAGATACACACTGACACACACACACACACAGACACTGTGACAGACATACTGACACTGTGACAGACATATATACTGACACATACACAGACATACTGACTGGCACACCGACATACATACAGACACACAAACTGACACACACAGACATACTGACACACACACAGACATACAAACTGACACACAGACATATACTGACTGACACATACATACTGACACTCACACAGACATACTGACACACACACAGACATACAAACTGACACACATACATATACTGACTGACACATACATACTGACACTCACACAGACATACTGACACACACACAGACATACAAACTGACACACAGACATACTGAATGACACATACATACTGACACTCACACAGACATGCTGACACACACACAGACATACATACTGACACACACGCAGACATACATACTGACACACACACAGACATACAAACTGACACACAGACATATACTGACTGACACATACATACTGACACTCACACAGACATACTGACACACAGACATACATACTGACACACACAGACATACAAACTGACACACAGACATATACTGACTGACACATACATACTGACACTCACACAGACATACTGACACACACAAAGACATACATACTGACACACACAAAGACATACATACTGACACACACACATACATACTGACACACAGACAGACATACAAACTGACACACAGACAGACATACAAACTGACACACACACATACATACTGACACACAGACAGACATACAAACTGACACACAGACATACAAACTGACACACAGACATACAAACTGACACACAGACAGACATACAAACTGACACACAGACAGACATACAAACTGACACACAGACAGACAGACACTCTTCAGTTTCCTACCTTTGAAAGAGGCTTCCTTCCCTGGGGTCCAGTGTGCTGGCTGGGGTAGTTGGGAGTTGGGGGTCTGGCTCTCCTTGCTCCCCCTCCTCACTGGATCCTGGCTCAGCAGCCGCCCGGGCGGCCCGATGTCTTTGAGGTGGGAGGAAGTGATTCGCGGACGTCACTTCCTCCCATGCAGCCGTTAAGCAAGGACCCGGTCGCGTTGTTAAAGGGCCACAGGGCCGACCGGACCCCTGCTGGAACATGCTCACTGGGTGGCCCTAAAGGTATGGGCCACCCGGGGGCGCCCCTTAGTGTGCGGGCCCCGGTGCAGCCGCAATACTAGCACCGCGGGCCCATTAGGTAGGGAAATATTTTAAAAAAATAAATTTTTATTGCAGGCGACGGGGCCCACAGGGCAGCTGTTTTGGGCCCCCCATGAGTAACTGGGCCCAGGGCAGCTGCCCCGTTTGCCCCTCCTTAAAGACGGCCCTGGGCTAAGGGGTAGATGAGTGGGGAAAAGAGGGAAGAAGAAAAATAAAGAAGGGGATAGAAAGTTGCTAGGTACGCTGCAGGCATCCACACCTGGCCCCTCTTAGCTACATATTGTCAGTGCTCAGGTCAACTGGCCAATCCCACCTCAGTGCTCAGGTCAACGGCCAATCCCACATCAGTGCTCAGGTCAACTGGCCAATCCCACCTCAGTGCTCAGGTCAACGGCCAATCCCACCTCAGTGCTCAGGTCAACGGCCAATCCCACATCAGTGCTCAGGTCAATTGGCCAATCCCACCTCAGTGCTCAGGTCAATCCTACTGAGATAAATTTATACACATCAACACTGGACATTTTGTTTCAGTGTCTCCCCCTATCTTTTTGTGTACCCATGTTGAAACTACGATCTCATATCTGATACTTATCAACTATTTGGAGGCTGTTGAAATTTAAATTTAAGTGCTGCTGGGCACCACGACCTGCCTCTACTACCAACAGCACAGAGCTGGAAGTTACTAAACGGTATCTTCCAGTAACCCACACAAGCTTAGTTTATTGGCTGAGAATGATCAGCTGACGCTCTAAGCCATGACCTTAGCCCAGCACTAAAGGGCTTAGCATAGGAGAGCAAATGTTCTTAACCCCTTAAGGACACATGACATGTGTGACATGTCATGATTCCATTTTATTCCAGAAGTTTGGTCCTTAAGGGGTTAAAATGGTTTGACTGCAGTCAATGGCGGGGTGGTCGAGGACACTCTGGACACCATAACCACTACAGCAAATTACTTAAGAATGTTCCTGTAAAAGAATCAGGACATTCCATGCTGAGTTTAGGACCAGTTTGCCATGATGGAATGGACTCTGATTAGTCCTTAATGGGTTAAAAGCAGAACATTTTTCATATGTGCATTTATGCAATTATACAATTCATGCTCTGCTCTCTAAATGGAAACATATTCTCAGTTTTTTTCCACCTGTTGCCTATCTCCCCAAAACCATGCAGCCAGATAATATATCAGTTACGTGCATGTGTGCTGTGACAGATCAGATGTATCCTAGATGCTGTCTTCCTCGATATATATTATTAACATCACATTAATACTCAAACCTCCCTGTGTCAAACCAGGTTAAGAGGAATAATAAACAGAAGAGGCGGCAAATATACAACGCATTCCACGGAGACTTTATATCTTGAATATAAAGTCTTTTTTTTTCCATAATCCTTTGAACGTTAAAATAACAGAGTTTCCTTGGTCTGCTTAATGCAAAGTATGTTGCTCTGCTTATTTAAATAACAATATGTCAGTTGAATGCATATGGATAGACTGTAGAAATGTTCAGTTAGTATGATAAGGCTCTGCATGAATAAAGATTAGCTAAATTGAGAAATTTTAAAAATGTGGTTTGGGAAATATAAGACTGTAACCAGTATAATACAGTATGTTAAATTCTCAAACTCCAGTTAACTACGCTTTACAAGCTAAGCAACAGAAAAGACTGCAAGGACCCTGTACAGCAGGCATGTTAAACTTGTGTCCCGCGGGCCGCTTGCGGCCCACAATGACTATATTTGCAGCCCAGCAGAGGCAGCTCTCTAATTAGGCAATTTAGGCAGCTGCCTAAGGCCTTGCAGCCACCTAAATCGCCCTAGGGCAGACTAACATGTCGGGTCCTCGGTATAAGGCCATTATGCCCATTATGCCGCCCGGTACAAGACCCCTCCCTCAGTCTACCCTGAGAGAGAGCCAGCACTACAGTCAGTATGCAGCTCCGCCAGGTGCAGAGCTGGAGACTGAAATATCTCACAATCTCCAGCCAATCAGAGCGTTGCAGGTTATTACGGCAACATTATGACTGGAGATCGCAAGGCACTTACCATGTGACCTGCAGCTCTGAACGCAGCGGAACTGCAGATCGGATAAACAGAAAACCGGACCACCAGGGAATAGGAAATTTTTTTATTTTAAAAAAAAAAAGATATTTTTGGTATTGCCCTGTTACATCCACTCCTCCAACCATACCACATTCACTCCAACCCTGTTATATTGACCCTCCAACCATGCCACATTCACCCTGTCACATTAACCCCCTAATCCTGTCACACTTACCTCCCCTCACCCTGTAACACTCCCTCCTCCAACCATGTCACACTCACCTTACCTCTTTCTGCCACACTCACCCCCCATCTCTGTCTCATTCATTCTCGCCTTGTCACACTCGCCCTCACTGTTTCCCCTTTACTCATCCTTTCACAGTCTCTCCTAAAGATAATCATCATACACACAAAGTCATAAAACATAGCTGCACCACAAACACAGTGCACAAAGGCCACAGGCAGCCCTCCCATACCGTATACCAGGGGCGTATTAGCCGCGAGGCAAACAAGGCATTTGCCTTGGGCGGCATTTTTCAGGGGTCCATATCCATTCTTTCGTTGTACTGTACTTTTCTAACTAAACCTGTGCCTCTATGAGAATTAAAGTTTTTGTTTTTTGCGGACCACATAAACTTAAACCCTGTTTATGTGGCCTGTGTTAGCCTTTGAGTTTGGCATATCTGCTGTACAGAGTGTCAGATTACCACTCCACCAACCCCAAACCATTTATCCTTAACTCTCAAGAGCTCGGCTAAGGGAAGGCTTGATTGAGCATGAAAGCCCTGTACCAAGATATAGCAAAACCTCATGGAGAGGCTCAAAGGCAATGGATAAGAGTCCCAACTTGAACAAACATTTGGGCATTTGTATTTAAGTAATTAATCCTAAAGGACACAGTAAGAACCACCAACTGGGCATTGGGACCGTATGGGTTAATTGCTCCTGGCTTCTGAAGAGTTAACTCTGTGGAGCACAAACCAATGTGGAAAAACAGTTAACAGTGTGTCGGACTGGCACAGTTTACAAGGAGTACTGTGTTTCAAGTGGTGGGACACTTGTGTGGAGACACGATTTGGTTCTTTCTCGCTGGAGGCAGAGAATGAAGGGACAGAGAATGAAGGGGCAGAATAAAAGAGAGAAGGGGCAGAGAATGAAGGGGAAGAATAAAATAGAGAAGGGACAGAATGAAGAGAGACAGAATAAAGAGATGAAATGAAAAGTATGCCGCTTGCAATAGATTTTGCATAAAGTAGTTCATTTGCATTTAATTTTAATGGTTCAAATAATGTCAGGCAAAATGGTCGGCCCTCACGCATGTTCACTTCATCAAATCTGGCCCTCTTTGAAAAAAGTTTGGACACCCCTGTGTTAAACATTGGTCATTCTTGCATGAGGAGATGCTGATTGGCCAGGGCAGCATTTGGCTCTGCCCCTCCGTCCCGCCTCCTTGGATGAAATCATCAGAATTGACAATCTCAGCCAATCCAATGCTTTCCTATGGGTGGTGGATTAATGGCGGGGCCAGTGTGCGAAAAGCCTCTTGCGGCATTGGAAAAAGGTGAGTGAATTACTTTTCTAGCCCGAGGTAAGGGGGACCAACCACCTAAATGGTGGTTTTAGAACTATAGTGTCAGGAGTATACATTTTGTGTTCCTGACACTATAGTGCCCCTTTAAGTACTATAATTTATCTTTATACATTTTTTTAATTTAACCTTTGATAACAAGACAGTTAATGCAGTGCACTTTTGTGGTTTTGTGCCCTGGAGTGAATTAATTTGCCTTATATCTTTTATGGTTTTTGATCAGGCTTGTTTAGTCCATGTATTCGGATTTCTCTGACCTGGTTAAGTATTCGACCTTGAGTTGCCTATTGATTTAACCTTAGGATTTAGATCTCTTAGTTCAGATATCTCCTGTTTCAGACTAAGAAGCATTACACCCAGCCACTCTAAGGTCCTGCAATATGCCTACCTATCTTTCCTACTTTGCCCTTGTTGGTTGCTAACCTATATTTTGCTGATGATCCTCCTTATGCTGTGGAATCAAGAATCAGAGTGATCAAAAGGTTATCCCTTCCTCATCACTTCCTGCACCGTGTGGTGGATTCAGGTGCAGCTAAAACTAGGTAAAGGTTGGCTCGTGTTTCTAACCTGTGCTGGATAGGTCTTACTGCTGTATGATTTATAGGGGCTTCCATGAACCTCTGAGAATTGAAAGTTATTGGCTGCTGTGCCTGTGTGTTCCTGTCGTAGGCAGCAATCTTCATGGAAGAGCATCTGATGAAGTGCTAAGACAATCCCTGGTTTGCAGTGAATACAAGAGATTTTTTTTTTTCATTCGTGTGATGACACACTTTTCAGACATGCATCATTTCGCAACACGTCAGCGGTCCAGATGGTGTTCTATTTCTTGAACACGTCACTTCAGTTTTGCGCTGATCCCTCGATGGTCTCTCTAATACTCTGGCCCCTATTCACAATATAGTAATATAACATAGCCAGCCCAAGTTGGCTCTTCTCTTTCTTCCCCCAGGACCTTTGTGCGTCTGCTTCTCCCCCAACCCCTTTATGTGTCTCTTTGTTCCCCCTTCCCCCTCTGTGTGTCTCTTTGTGCCCCCGCAGCCTCTCTGTGTGTCTTTGTGTCACCTCTCCTCCTGTGCCCTTCTTCTGTCCCTCCTCCCCTCTTTTGCCCTTCTTTTGCTCCCCTCCCTTCCTATGCCCTCCTTCTGCCCCCTTCCCTCCTGCACACTTCTTCTATCTTCCCCTCACCTTCTGTGCCTTTCTTCTGCCCCCTTCCCCTCCTATGTCATTCTTATGTCTCCCCCTCCCCACCTGTGCCCAT